GACAATCAAACATGTGGGAAGAGGGGGCCGGCCGCCACTGCTAGTTTAGCTAGTTCCAGAGTAGATAAACTAGCTAAGTGTGTTAGGTCTAACTCTTAGTGTATTTTTGCTCCACTCAACGGTCCGTCCCAGCGGCGGAGCTGTGATCATGCAGAGCTGCGTGTTCTCCGTCAGCAGCAGCTGATCTGATCTCTCTCTCTCTCGCGTCCGGTAATACTTCACTCGCGTCTATGTCCAGATCTATCAGATCCAGCTAGTTCTAGCTAATGATATGACCGCCTGCTTATCAGAGGACCTAAAGAATAAGCGTTGCTTGGCAACGGCGTGTGGCCGCAAAGTATATCGCAGCATTATGCATAATGTTATGAGGGGTCAAAATCCCATGCTCATAAAATGCTCATATCTTTTTTTTCTCTTCATTCCCCACGCTCCTAAATAAATAAATAAATAAATGTACCAATTTTAGGAAAAGTAACGCAGTTTGAGCAGTGTGGGTATTATATGAACAGAGTTACACATATTTCAAAACGCGAAGTGTAATAACTTAGCCTCCCTGTCAGAATGACAAAGCTCCTCAGTGAAGCTCAGCCCATGTTTCTCACTAGGCTACATTGTAAGTACAACTTATTAAAAAGATCAGTTCAATGCAACTAATGTCTTCTTAGCGTTATTGCATGATGTTAAAATTGGTTTGCCATGAATTTAGTGATGGATTCTAAACATTTGAAATGTAGCATTTAAGTGTTTCTCAGTTACAAGGTTGTTGTTATAATAAATCAGACACTGATGGTGCAGCGCTGTACTACAGTACAGCGCCTCTTTATACAGGCATTTTGTCCATAACAAATTGTTTTTGCGCTGATCAGGGGGTACTTGGCGTAATATTTTTTTCAAAGGGGGTACATTATTGAAAAAAGTTTGAGAACCGCTGGACTAAGGTATAAAAAGCTTGTTTGAGTGTCACGTCCTTCGCTAGGAGCAAACAGAGGTTAGAGAGCATTTCTTAGAATGCCACACATTTATATGGGCTAAGTGTAAACAATTTGTATACAGGGCTGAATAAAGTTACCCAAGGTTGTAAAATAGTTTGGTTAACATCTGTCCCAGGTGATCTTAGAAATAACTAATACTAATAGATACGTTTTCCTGAGGCTTTTGAAGGTAGGATGTCACATCACACCATTTTAGTTCACCATGGCATGACATTCCGAGCTGACAGTGACAGACTGATCATGCTGCGTCTTAATTGCAAAAAATATGAGTGCCAAATATGTTTATAATCATGCGATGAATATCGGTAATATTATATTAACTTCCTTCTTTGGTTACATTTGTAGCTATTGGAAATACACATCTGCTACATGAGCAGAAATGACATCTGTGTTTATAAAGAAAAGTATGTTATCAGTGAAAAATACTTTAATTTGATCACAATCATAACCTCAAAACTTTTTTCCTCACACAACTCTTGCCATCTGTGAAAGGCAACAGTGGATAACAGATTCTCGCTTAGTAACAATACTTGTCTCCATTTCCCAGGTTACGTTTAACAGCTAATTGTAATACAGGGAATTGCTCATTAAAGTGAGCTATATCCCTAAATAAATCGCTGTAATAGCACTACTAGATTTTAAAGTGCATCCTCTCTTAACACGTGTTGATGCTAGTTATATCCAGTGACACACGTGTGTCTTTATGGAATAAATCTGTTTACTTTGACAGTCATTTGTAAATTTACATCTACTTTGTAGCTCATCCCTCACAAAAGCAACTGAACCAACAGGATTGGCAACTGAAACGAATTCTGGCAAAATGTCAGTTTTAGCTAACTTTATGTTTATATGCTAAACTGAAATGTAAAGCTGCATTATAAATTGCTTATACAGCCATGTTGGATTTGAGTCATGATGTCAACGTGATCATTTAGGGCTTTGATTTAGAGTTTTCATCAGCAGGCTGAGCCACAAATGCTTACAAGTGCTGATGTGTACTAAAAAGTATGTTAAAAAAAACAAGCCTCTGCTTTTGATGTAAATGTAGAAACCTGTGTTGTATTTATTAAATAAAAAAGAAATTGTACACCATCATATTACATTTACATCAGAAGCTGATGCAAATAGCTGCTGTTTTGAATAAATCTAGCTTTTTTGCTGGCATCAGTGTTCTCAGGGCAGTGCCGCTGTTTGTTTACAGCATGCGCTTCTAACAGTGGAAGGAGAGGGGGCTTTGGAAACCTGAGGCTCTTTAGATTGAAGGACTCCAGCAGAGTGGAAGAAGTTGCACACAGCATGAGTCAATTTCATGTCTAAGCAGGGCCTCTTCCTGTGGATATAATGCACTTTTAAAGCGCTCTAAACTCTGCTGGTGTGATTCTCTCGCTTTTAGAACTTCTACCTGTGTTTTATTTTTTTTAAGCACTGTGATCAAACAGTGATCCTTAGTAAATGCTCATTCAGAATCAGGAGACACAACATTTATTCTTTTAAGGAATCTTTGATTTTTAGGAAACTGAGAGGAAAAACATAGCAAAATATGAATGTCATGTCAGAATATCCTAATAGCCTCTGTGGTTTGTGTTGACAAAGCAAGACTGCACATCAATACATGCATTCATCTTAGGGGCCAGGAAGTTCACATTAACACACATGGGTGTTTGGACATCACTAATGCATGCGTCTTTGTACATAATTATGTGTCACTGAAGCCTTGTGGTTCCTTGGGCTAAAGTGGCACTTTACCAGTCGGGGCATACTTGAAAAATAATCAGATGTGTTTTAGAACAAAAACACTGCTTGGCAGCATAAAATAGGGAGGTAAAGGAATTATGGCAGTAATTGCAGTACCAGAACATTTAAAAAGATGTGTTGAGGGGTCATATGAAGTTTAAATGACAAATACAACTGCTGTAAAGACTGTTTTTTTAAGTCAAAATTGGACACAAACTAAGAGCATATTTATTCATTGCTAAATGGGAAAGTTTGTTGACAAAATGTTTATTTATCAAGGGAGAATATTTCACTCACATAGTGGTTCTCTCTAAGTTGTGAATCTTGTAAGTAATATGTTTATTGCTCAGTTTAGATTGCACATTTTACAGCTATTTCAACAGTATCCAATTTGTACTCACACAATTGGTTGGAACTAAGATAGAAAAAAAATTCAGAGGAATCTCACATTCCTGGCAAATGTGAACGCACAACAAATGCATGTTCCTGTGGAAGAATTTTTTGCGTAGAGAGCCGCTTTTGGCCTCACCAGTTATTGTATTTATTTGTTATAAACATTATGAGAACAGGTCAACCAGGAGGCCGCATTTTTGCAAATGTGTATTTCAATCCCGCATATAATTCTGAATACTTTGCATATTTGTGTACAAAGTTTTACTCCTTTAATAACTGCACAGCTTTCCACTTTCTCCATTTACTGTATGTACATATTTGTGTTTTATTTATCCAAGCATTTTTCCATGCTATACTTTACTTAGATGTGTGTTTAGTGTAAATATTTCTCTATATTTTTTATGTTATAGTCATTTAAAAAAAAAAAAAAGGTTTTATAATAGTTCTATTTTTGGTGCTCTTCTTACAATTGATCTTCTCTTACCAGGTTTATGTATGCACCACACCAAAGAATATTTATTGTATGTGTAAACCTACTTGGCAATAAACCTGATTCAGATTCTTCCCATCTGTGATGGTATATCCACATAACTCTGAAAATATGTTTATATTCTGTATTGTACCCCTTTCCCTATGTATTCTATAAGAACATCAAAGAAACAACTCCATCCTGGTTCACCTAATCTAACATCTATGCTCCTCTATATCAAAGTGGTGGTTTCCCCAGCACTATAAAAT